CCTTTTATTTCTTTTTCTTATCTGACTGCTGTAGCTAGGACTTTAAAAATAGAATTACCCGATGATCCAATAATTCTAGTAAATACTGGGTATTTACCCAAAGAATATGAAACCACTAATTTGAAAACATATACACACTCCTATGTTTAATGCAGCATTATTTACTAAAGTCAACATATGAAAGCAACCCAAGTGTCCACTGATAGATGAAGGGATAAAGAAGATATGGTATATATACAATGTAATATTACTCAACCATAAAAAGAATGAAATCTTACCATTTGCAACAACATGGATAGAGCTAGAGAGTATTATGCTAAGTGAAGAAACTCAGAGAAACACACATACCAAATGTTTTCACTCACATAGAATTTAAGAAACAAAACAAATGAATACAGAAAAGAGACCACGAAACAGGCTCTTAACTACAGAGAACTGGTGATGATCAGAAGGGTGGGGGGATGTGCGAAGCAGAAATAGGGAATTACGAATACACATATCTTGATGAATCCTGAGAAATGTACAGAATTGCTGAATCACTATATTGTATACCTGAAACTGTCAGTTATACTTAAACAGTACAATTAAATGTAAAAACACACTAGAATGACAGCTAAACTCCAAGTCTTCTAAACCTGCAAATGAGACGGAACAGGAGAGGAGTCACTATCAGTCTGAGAAGGTCACTTCATTTCGAAATGGAAAATGGATAAACATTAGGTAACAGACTTGGGTTCTGACATTCTCTGCTCTAGGGGCCCACAGTGGGGACAAGCCAACAAGAGCCTGGAATGTTCTGGAATTGGATGTACAGCCTACCACTGAGGGCAGAGAACTTTATAGTGAGGCAAAAACAAATGACTGTTTAGGAAAATACTGGGACCCTCAGCTCCCTCCCCTCCCCAAGCAGCTGCTCCTCTCTCACTTTTATTGCTTAAATAAGCCAAAATGTAAAGCTACTACATTTAAAATACCTTACACAGAGAGAATGAGAGAGAGAGAATGAGAGAGAGACAATGAGAGAGAGAAAGAGCATTAGAGGGGAGAGGGTCAGAGGGAGAAGCAGGCTCCTGCTGGGTAGGGAGCCCGATGCGCCTCAATCCCAGGACTCCAGGATCATGACCTGAGCTGGAGGCAGTTGCTTAACTAATTGAGCCACCCTGGTGTCCCTCAAAGAGGAGTTTTTAAAACCTCCAAGAAAAGAGAACATCAGTAGCATGGATAGGAAACAGGACAGAATATAAAAATCTGAACATCAATCCAGGAGATTCAATATCTGACTAAAAGGAGTATCTAGAATGAAAAAAAGGAGAAAACTAGAGGACAGGAGGGATTTACAGAGAAAGAAATCAGGACATTTTACAGAACTCAAGCTTTCTGCTTAAAATGCCCACCAGCACAAAAAAAAATGAAAAAGTCATGTACTAGAAATTAAAAGATTCTGAGAATCTAAAAGGTATTTTATTCTTGAATAAATCCTTTTAAAAAATCTATTAATTTATTGATTTATTTTGAGAGAGAAAGAGATAGCAAGAGAGCACAAGTAAAGAGAAGAGAGAGAGGCAGGCTCTACACAAACAGGGAGCCTGATGCGGGGCTCAATCCCAGAACCCCAGGATCATGACCTAACCTGAAAGCAGATCCTTAACCGACTGAGCTACCCAGGAGCTCCTAAAAGTTATTTTAAAGAAAGCTCACAGGAATCAAAAATGAGAATGGTACAGGACCTTCCACAGCAATCCCAAAGCTGAAATATAATGAAATAACATCTTCTATACTCTGTTGGACATGGTTTCCAACCTAGAATTCTACACCCAGCTCAAAGAACAATCAAGATTGAAGATATAATGAAGACATTTTCAAACACAGGAGGTTCTCAAATTTTCCCTCCCCCATTTCCTCTTTTCTCTCCTGCTCCCCTGAAAAGGCAACAGGATTATGAATTCTACACAGAGAGGAAACATAAGGAAAAGGGAGACCTGGCATCTGGGACACGGGCAGGGCTACACTAAGGAGTGGACAGAATTCCCAGGATGAGGGCAGAGGGAAGTCCTCCCAGGACAGCTCTGGGGTGGGGCTAGGGGGCTCCTGTAGAGAAGCAGTTCAGAGGTCCACAGGGGATCAGAGGGAGACACCAGCAGGAACAGTTAAAAAAAAAAAAAAAAAAAAAGGAACTAAGACAATTAACACCCTTGGTGGATTGTATGCCTCACTATACCAGTGGTCAGTTCATTTGGAGAGTCTGGGGGTAAATTAATGACAAAAACCAAACACAGTAAGTAATTAACTTTTAATTAACGATTAACTCTAGGAAAAATAAAAGGTTAGACCAAAAAAGAGAAACATAACAATAAAAATACGGCATGGCTGAGATATGATTATTTGTATTGTGATCAATATTAATGTATCCCCAAATTGGTAGAAAGCTACATGGGAAGGAAGATGTGCAGAGAGAAAGTATAAGGGGAAAAGAGTGTTTGAAGAATTAAACCTTCAACATCCAAAGTAATGAACTGACAACTCAAGCCACAGCCACATGGGCATGGGAATCATGAGAGATAAATAGCAAACCACAGCAAATCGCTCTTGTTAAGTAAGCACATCTGGGTAATCACACGGGCATGAGAGCCGGGGTAGGAATCTGCTATTTTCCTTACAATATCCGTAAGATTAATACTTTCTAAACTATAGACAAATTGCCCTATAAAATAGAAGTTAAATTTCAAAAAAAAAAATTTCATCCGAAGAACAACCTATTGTAGACAGTGACTTATCTCATGAATGGGATTACTGATTTTCAGAACAAAAGCATTTAGTCTCACAGCAAGAGAGGATTTAGATGTAGATACAAATTTTGGAAAACACTAAGGTAGGTTTTGAAAAGCTAGTTCTCTGCTTAAACTCTTACATGAAATTGAAATACATTACATTATGAATAAAACTACAGCACATTAATGCACGTCCGCATGACCTCACCATTCTGCTTTAGCCCCTCATCAATGAAGGGAAAATTAGCTAATCAGGCACTTAGTCTCAAATCTCAAAAAGCAGCCACCAATAAGAATTAATTACATTAAATTGAACAAAGCCTCTATTTTTTAAATCAACTTTGTATATAACTCTTCCTTGTGTGCAAATGAAGCAGAGGTCACAAACTGTGGCCTGGGAGGCCCCAATCCAACCTCCCCCCAGCTCTGTAACACCTACCAGCTAAGAATGGTTTTTATGGGTTTGTTCTTTTTTTAATGGTTAAAAATAGTTTGTGACACATGGAAAAAAAAAACATGAGAACTCAAATCTCAGTATCCACAGATAAAGGTTTATTGGAACACAGCCTTATTTACTAATGTTTGCCTCTATGGCTGCTTTTTACTGATGGTAGAGAATGTGTGGCCTGCAAAGCCTAAAATACTTGCTATCAGGTCCCTTTCAGAAAAAATTTGTTGACCCCTGAACTAAAGGATTCTAGTTCTGAATTTCATTTGAATTTTATATATTCAAATAAAATTGAGCAAATTCATATATAAAAATGTCCATATAAACAGTCCTTGAATCAAGAGATGTTAGAGACAGTCTATACAGCCCTTAAAGTCCAGAGGGATTTAATGGTTCGCTCAGGGTTAGCCGGGTAAACGGAAACAGAGTGAAGGTTGGAGTTTGCTGCCTCACAGGGCTGCTCTCTTAGATAAGCATGTGTCTCCAACATTTTTGCACTAATGCTACTCCTTTGTTCCTACCCCACCCTTCAACTTCTTACTAAATCCCTCATTTTGCTTTAGTTAAAATGTTAATAAAATGTGCCTTTTAATTTGACGCTTCCCAAATATTTAAAACAAATTTCTGCTGATATTTACTTATGACTGTGCCAAAAAAGCAGCAGAGACCACTGACGAAGAACAGTCTTTAGGGTCGGGGAGATCCAGCTTCCAGTTCTGTCCCTGGGGTATCACTCTGGTCCCAATAATCTTCTGACCTTCTCTCAGCTTCACCTGTCCCTTCCCTAAAAGTGAGTGTGTCCCTAAGCTCACAGGCGTGTGGTTAGACTGAATAAAAGGAGGATGGCAAGAACTGAATGTACTGACGGTCACAGAATTCAGAGTTCAAGAAGTGTTACCTATTATACTCTGTCTCACGTCCAGATTTTGATACCCATCATTATCCCTGAAGGGCTTCACAGGTAGTGTTCGCAAAATTCACTGTGGGCCACAATCACAGTGGTGATCTTGTCACTGCAGGTTCCCTCGGCCCTACCCCCAGGGACTCTGATTATTTAATCTGGAAAAGGCAGGAATCTGCATTTCCAAGCTCAATTGTGATTTGGATACAGGGAGTCCATGGAATGGAAAGAGTGCCCCTAGGTAATGAAAAAGATACCAAGAGGTTAAGAGATGAGCAAAAGACTCAGTGATCATAGTCTTAATACAAAATGACAAAAAGCTAAGGACTATAATTCCTTTGTTATTTTTCCTTCCACGACAGTACTTTTTTTTTTTTTGGCCTTAAACTTATGTTCAGCCCTATAAGTTAACTAATGTTATATACAATATGAAGATTATTTCCCAGTTTATAAAGGTTAGGACTTCCAGTTATACAACCAGTTAAAAATGTATGGAACTCAAAAAGGTCAGTACTCAGGTCCCAGTGAAACGTCCCGTTTTCTATCTTGGATTTCAGCCACACCACCTGTTGCTGTCCCCAGAAAATTTAAGGCTAAACCATTTTACTTATTGGTATATTTGCATACAGAAAGAAAAAAAAACACAGAAAAATAATATGCATTCCTACCTTTCACTACAAATTGAAACAAGCTAAGAATGTGGCTAAAAACAAGCATGAAACTATATTCTACCTTGAGAAAGTCTGATGTGGGATGAGTGTGGAGCAAATTGCATGCAACAGCTGCTCCTCTGGGTAAGGCTTTTCCTTTGAAGTGTCAATTCCAAAACCAGCAACTAACAGAGCTGACAGTGGCAAGAGTAGATGTACAGGTTCGAAATTACCTTGCTCCAGTCTAAAGCACAGGGAACGCCTTGCTGCTTCCATCTCCGGAGTCGGGTTATCTAGGACGTGTCTACACCACTGCAAAGGGCTCAGGGATTTCTCTGATGATGTGAATGTCTTTGAAGAGCCAACGTATAACCTTAAAAAAAGAAATCTACATTATAGGTATTATATAGGTATATGGACATGACCTCCCTTCTAGGGAAAACAACATGTATTTCACAGTTTCTACTAACACAAAACTCACAATGGATTACTTCAAATACAAAAATCATATTTTAACAGGCAAATACCCCCAAATAAAATATAATGCTTTCTGTAGCTTGGTGGGAAGGAGGACTTCAAAACACTATGAGAAACTATGTCTCAGAGTCTGAGATCAGAGGCTTTTGCTACTGAACTAGCCTGGAACGGACACCATGATGTCCTGAACAGACACCATGATGACCTGACTACCTCACTTGTTTGTAGAAATGAACACTTTCATCTCTTTCTCTGGTAGCACAATGTTACGTGAACTGGGCTAATTAATATATGTAAACATGACATGACAAACTAGACAAATTTTATGTACTTTAAAAAAAAAAGTCTAAAAATTAGTGAAAGTCCATTGATTCTCTCAATCCTTAAATAATCAGGTATCTGCCCCCACCCTGTCTCAAATCTGTACTAAACGTGGTATGTGCTTCTTTCTCACAAAAGCCAAACAGCTTTCAAAGATACGTTTTTGGAAAAATTTGCTTTCATCATCTGTAACATTACACAGAATTCAAAATAACCACCATGAGGCACTTTAAGTTAAAGATTTTCTCTCTGACATATGGTGCTGAGGTAAACTATAGCATATTTTCAGTCACAGGGTTATACAAAAAAAGTTCATCTTTTTAGCTGACTTAAAAAAGGAAGAGAAAGAATTATAATCACTGCTTCTAGTAATTAACTTATTTACGAAGCTGGATTGTAATTATAAATCACACTAAAGTAACACTCCTTTAAACAAAGTTACCCTAATTCTAACGAGTACATGTTCTTGAAATACCATACTTCACTATTCACGCTCATGCCATCATAGTCAGGACCCCCACCTGTCAAAATAATTTCTCAGTTACCCAAGACGGTTGGGAAATGGTACTATTCAGTAAATTATCCTTACAGATCAGAAGTTGGCAAACTTTTTCTGTAAAGGGGCAGCTAGTATGTACTTGGGCTTCATAGGACACGGTCTCTGTCACAACCACTCAATCCCACTATGGTAGCCCCAAAGCACCACAGAGGGTACGCAAGGTGAATAGTAGGCTGTGTTCCTAGAAACCATTTATAGACACTGAAACTTGAACTTCCCATAATTTTCAATATCATAAAATAATAGTCTTTTGCCTTTTTTTTTTCAGTCATTTAAAAATGTCTAGCTGACCAACCATACAAACCATGCAGCAGGGCCAACTTGCCCCAAGACACCGTCTGTTAACTCCTGTTACAGGTGCAGATTCTAAAACACCATTTCATCCATTCAGGAGTGCTTCAGTGGACCACGGTGGTCCTTCTTTCATCAGGAGTATATGGATTAGTTGAAAATTCTTATTCCTGGGCACACCTCAGTCTACTATGACAAGATTAACACCCACCTATGTAAATCCATCCTTTCCACCACCACCCCCCCTTGCTAAAAGACCCCTGAAGAGTCCAGTGACACGTAGCTCACTCTAATTCCCCAAGTTCAGGCTAGCCTAAGTCAGCTGTTCTCAAGCTCCGGTGCATCGAAATCTCTTATTGGGCTGTTAAAACACAAATTGCTAACACTCGACTGCAGGCAGGTCTAATCTACCTGATTCAGAAGGTTTGGACTGTGGTCAAAGAACATGACTGTCTGAAAAGTTTCCAGGTGATGCTCGTACTGCTGTCTGGAGACCTCACCTGGAAATGGACGCACCGGGCTAAGCCAATCTGAGGCACTGCGGCCTTCCTGTTTGCCCCATCACTGGCTTAGGCACAAGCTCTGGATACAATTCTAGCCACTAAAAACTAATGGGAAATATTCTGATGGGCACATTGGCAAGTTTCTCATGTTTAAAGTTGTCACAAAAGACCCATTTATATGCTTGCCTACAACACATGCACGTATATTGTAATACCCACAATGAAAAGCCTAGGCCCAGAAGGTTTCACTGCTGAATTCTACCAAATACCACAGAGAAAATAAATTGAAGACCAATATCCCTCATGAGCACAGAAGCAAAAATCTGGATATTTTAGCAAATTGAGTCCAACCACATATAAAAGGGATACTTCATTGTTACAAAGTGGGGTTTATCCCAGGAATGAAAGGTTGGTTTAACATTCAGTGTAGCTGACCATAGAAAAGGCACGATCATCTCAAAAACAAAAAAGCATCTGACATCCATCCCTGATTCAAACAAACAAACAAAACAAAACAAAACAACTCTCAGCAAATTAAGAAGGAAACACTTTCTGATTAAAGGTATGTACAAAAGCAGCATTCTCAACAGTGAAAGGCTAAATGCTCTTCCTCTAACATCAGGAGCAAAACAAGGACGAGAGGTTCTAGCTAGTGCAATCACACAATAAATTAAAACATTTAGACTGGACATAAGTAGTCAATCTATCTTTATTCAGAGATGACATGATCATCTCTGTAAAAAATCTGAGGAACCTACAAAAAAGATACTTGAACTAACGATGGAGTTTAGGAAAAAAGACTCTAGCATGTCTATGCTAGGGACAATCAGTATTGTTGAAATTTCACTTCCCATTTACACCAAAACCATAAGACGCCTAAGGATAAATCTGATAAAGGATGTCAAGCCCCATATGCTAAAAACTACAAAACACTCTGAGAGAAATTAAAGATATAAATGGGAAGACAGACCATGTTCACAGATCAGAAGACTGAATATTAAGATGTCAATTATCCTTAAATGTATCCATTTAATAAAATCCCAAAAGTTCAGTAAGCTTCTTGAAGAAATTTGAAAGCTGATTCTGAGATTCATATGGAAACGTAAAGATCCTAGAACAGTCGAAACAACCTTGAAAAAAACAATGAAGTTGGAGAGCTACCGGTGAGTGGGACACATGACAAACCTACAGCAGTGAAGACAAGTGAGGAGGACATGAAGACAAACAGATCAATGGGGAAACAAGATGGTCCAGACTGCACACATATGGAAAACTGATTCTTGGCGAAGTATAAAGACAATTCAATGAAGAAAAGATAGCCTTTTGAGCAAATCATGCTGAAACAAACGTCACAACCACTCAATTCCACTATGGCACCCCCAAAGCACCCCATGGGAGTGCTCAATGACTTGACCTCCCATGCTAACACTGGGAGGACAGGAATTAATATACAGAATTAAATGACTGCATTTAATTCTATATACAAAAAATAAATTTTGAGCCATACATTACACAATACCCAAAGTTAACTCAAAACAGAGATATAAAAATGTCAAACCTGGAGCTATAAAATTTTTAAAAGAAACCATAAGAAAAGTCTTTGTGTCCTTGGGTTGGCAAATATTTCTTACATAGAATTTCTTATATGGAAAAATATGATCCATAAAAGAAAAAAAAAATTTATCAATTCGACTTCACTAAAATTACAACTTTACTCGTTGAAAGACACTAATAGAAGACTAAATGATAAACCACAGAGTGGGTAAAAATATTTGCAAATCACATATGATAAAAAAAAAAACTTGTACGTAGATGTAAAAACTGTATACTCAATAATAAACCCAATTTTTAAAAATGGACAAAAGATTAAAAGAGACATTTCAACAAAGAAAATCTATGAATGAACAGCATATAGAAAATATGCTCATCATTTGTCATGAGGTAAATGCAAAGTAGAACCACTCTGAAGTACTACTATGCAACTATTAGAATGGCTAAAATTAAAAAGCCTGACCACGGCAAGCACGACGAGCACAACTGAAATTCCCATTCGGTGCTGGCAGAAAAAGGAAACAGCCTAAGCACTTTGGGAAAGATTCTGGCAGCTTCCTAAAGAGTTAACATACACCTATTCCTGTTCCAGCCTCTCAAGAGCCATTGAGTATTTATCCAAAAGATATGAATGCACGTGTCCACACAAAGACTTATTTGTAATAGCCAAAACTTGAAAACGGCCCAAACGTTCATTAAAAGATGAATGGATAAAAAAAAAAACAACATTGTTACATGCATACAATAGTTCTCCCAATAAAAAGGAATGAACTATTGTTTCACGTAACACAGAAGAATTTTAAAATAACTCTTGATCCTAAGCAGCCAGACCAAAAAACAAATGAAGAAACAGCACATACTATATAATTTCATAGATATGAAAGTATAGAAAGCAAACTAATCTAGACTGGCGGGGAGAGCAGACCAGTGGTTGGGTGCCTTGATGGGAAGTAAGCGGGAGCAGGAGAGAGGAAATGCAAAGGGCCACAAGAAAACCTGGGGCATTAAGATCTGGTTCATTCTCTTGACTCTAGTGATGGTTTTATAGGTATATATATATGTATATATATATATATATACACATATTTATATATATATGTCAAAACCTATCAAATAGTACATTTTAATATATGCAGCTTATACTTCACTTATACCTCAATAAAGCTTTAAAAAAAGATATCATGAAAGCAATTATTTTCTGTCCTTCAGTGTTCTCGAGACTTGAGTAGCCTTTCTAGGGGAATGGAATTCAGGTGAAACAAGAAGCAGGTGCCACAGCCCTGACATAAACGGGCCACTAAACTAGTCAAACTATGGAAATTTAATTTTTTTTTTAAGAGGTTGGGGAGAGAGAGATTGCAGGGAGAGAGAGAATCTTAAGCAGGCTCCATGCCCAGTGCAGAGCCCAACACAGGGCTCGATCTCAGATCCTGAGATCACGACCTGAGCCATAATCAAGAGTTGGATGCTTAACTGACTGAGCCCCCAGGTGCCCCTTTTTTCTTATTTAGCTTTTTTTTTTTTTAAGAGAGAGAGAATGGAACTTATCTTTAGACTTCTTTAATAAGTTATCCCTACTGTTTTATACACACACAAATTCATGCCACTGCCGGAGTCTCTGCTTGTTCTCAAACCCCTCTCACTGCCCCAAGAAGCCACTGCTTGAAGCAC